GAAAAGACCTCAGTACTTTTGGATGCACAAATTGTTTCACTGAGTAAAAGGACCATGCACATAGAGAGAATACAAGCTTTCAGTCAAAAGAATCCAGCAGACAAAAACAGCAAGGGTGGAAGAATTAAATAAAGTTAAGAGGCATGTACCAGGCATGGGGTCAGCCAGGCAGGAAATGGAGGGCCACATGTGAGGAGTAGCAGTAACACTACATGAAAGAGAACGTAGAATGTATGGATGGTAGCAATGTATCAGAAGCCTCAAAAGGTAGGTTGGAGTCAAAATGGAAAGGAAAGGTTTTAATGACAATTTTTAAAAATTATAATAAACTTTATCAGTAATTGTTTTCCCATTAATTAACCTGCATGCATGATCAGGGTCATGTCCAGATGAAAACACTTTCAGAAGATCATTCTCATCATTTCCATGGTAAGTGATAGAAGAGGTATTAGTATCTGATTCCAGTTTTGTTTAAATATATAGAGATGAATTTCAGCTAAAGCCCTAATTACTGTAGCCCCTGAGATGTAGGATTTTAAGGCAGCCCAGAGTTTAAGACTCTAGACTATTTTGTTTTTTGGGGTCAGGGGGAAGGGGAAAAAGAAGGAAACCAGAACTAAAAAAAAAAAAGCTATAATACATATAAAGTACCAACATTTTTTTTCTATTGGAATTACTAAGGAAGTTCAAATCAAATTTTGAGAAGCCTCATGGAACCTTATTTCATAACTCCTATTATTTGGTATCTCTCTTGCTATGATGACTCAATTATATTTACTTTAAATTTAAAGAAATATCATGTAACCTTATTTCTTAACTCTTGCTCTACGACACCTCCCCTATGACTTAATATAGGGTGTCCCAAAAGTCTTGGTGTCACTTTAATCTATTAAATCTTTGTTTTGTGGTTGGATATTTCAGTCATGTCAGATTCTCCATGACCTCATTTGGGGTTTTCTTGGCAGATATACTACAGTAGTTTGCCATTTCCTTCTCTAGGTTATTTTACAAATGAGGAAACTGAGACAAACAGGGTAAAGTGACTTACTCAGGGTCACACAGCTAGTAAGTACCTGAGACTGGATTTGAACTCGGGAAGATGAGTCTTCCTGACTTCAGGCCTGGCACTCTATCCACCGTGCTACCTAGCTGTCCCCAAAACACAGATTTTTGTTATTGTTCAGTCATGTCCAACTCTCTGTGACTTCATCTGGTTTTTTTTGGCACAGATACCGGAGTGATTTGCCATTTCCTTCTCCAGCTCATTTTACAAAAGAGGAAACTGAGGCAAACAGAAGTTAAGTGATTTGCCCAGGATTACACAGCTAGTAAGTGTCTGAGACTGGATTTGAACTCAGGAATATGAGTCTTCCTGATCCCAAGCCCAGTGCACTATCCCCAGCATTAACTAGCATTTTGGAGAAAAGCCTCAGTCTACTCATGCTAGATTCACAGCTCTGTAAAGCTTATTATTTACTATTATTATTTATCAGCACTTTACTTATTTACTCATTTATTTATTAAAGCATAATAAATTTCTCCCTGAGAGGCAAGGTGGCCTACCAGATAGAAAGGCCCACTGTCTGTGTCAGTAAGATATGGAGTCTTGAGGGACCACTTACTGGCTGCGTGAGCCTGAGTAAGTTATTAACCTAAGGGTGCCTTGAGACACTCTTAAGTTGCAGATTTGGGTTGGTAAAGGGAATCCTCACACCAGGAGCTCCCTACCCCCCAGTGAAATCATAGGTTAGTAAATTTTTTAATGGAAATAAGAATTTAATCAAGTATTGTATAAAACTATTTTTTATTTCTTTTTTATTAGATAAAACTTTTTAAAAATTCTCCTTTATCAGATGAAACATACAGAAAATTAAGAGTTTTTGGCTACCATTATTCATTCATCTCACAGTAGAAAGAAATGCTTCCATTCTTTGAACTCAAAGTTAACAACTTCAAACAGTCTTCAAAAAGTCTCCAGGTTTGGAGATTCAACATCGGCATGATGTGAAATGAAGTAATGTCACTGCTGGGCTGAGAACTAGCGTGTCCTAGAACTTAGGAGACTTAGGTCTGAATTTATGGTCTGCAACTTTCTAACTACATGACTCTGTCACCAAGTCACTTAACTTCTGAGGTTCAATTTCCTCATCTGTAAAATAGGAATATCGATATTACCAAACAGAGCTGACGTGAACAGCAAGGTTTTTAAAGTGTTGTAATCTATTAGCTAACAAAAATGTTACAAAACACCTATTATGTGCCAGGCACTTTGCTAAGCACTCAGAACACAAAAGTAAGCTCTCGAGGAGCTTAAATTCTGCTGGGAAAGACATAGAGACAGAACGAGGATGCCTAGCACAAAAGTACAGAGATAAGAGACAGAATATCACATGTAGAACAACAAATAGGTCACTATGGCTGGAAGGTAGAATGCGTGGAGGCGAGACATGGGTAAGAAAACTGGAAAGGAGGGCAAGGGTGAGGCTGGAAAAAGAAGACAACAAAAAAACAAAAACGCCCTAAATGCCAAACAGAACAGTTCATATTCGGAGTTTATTGAGTAGAGGGTGTGATACAGTTAGTACTTTTTACAGGTGTGTGGAGGATAGACTGGGGTATTGAAATAGTCTAGACAAGAAAGAGTTGATCAGGACCAGAATTACGGCAGTGTCTGTGTGAGCAAGAGAAGGGATGTTACAGAGAAATAAATGAAGAGATCTGGCAGCTGATTCCACATTTGGGGTAAATGAGAATGGAAGACTCAGGGATGACACCAAGGTTGTGAACCTACTGGGCTAGAAAGATGGTAGTCCCTTCAACAGTAACAGGAAAGTTTGGAAGGGTGGGTTTGAGGGAAAAGACAGCGTATTCTATTTGGACATGCTGGGTTTGAGATACCTATAAACACCCAGTGTGAAATGTCCACCAAGTAGTTTGTGATAAGGGACTGTAAGATGCTACATTTAAAAAAAAAACAACATTTTTTTTTGCATAGTGGCGATTACAATCCTCAATCACTCACCTTAGATTGGGTTGTTACATTTCTCCCTACCTTCAGCTAGCTCAATTCCCTTTTATTTCTCATTCCAGGTTCTAAGGTAAATGAAAGAGAATGCTTTAATAATTCTACTGATTACTAAAATGGCAACATCTTTCTCATTAATCACTTACCTCTGAGCCCCTACCCCAGCTAATCTTATCATTATACTGAAGAAACTTCTTTTCTTCATAAGCATTTGTTTATCACTATATCAGCTCTCTAATCACCAAGTTTAAATGAACAAATGTTGGATATACTATAATAGTATAATAAATAAGAGACAAATAATTGTTTATAATATATCAGCTGTGAGAAAGATCACAGTAAGTCACCTTTAACCATCACTACAACTGCTTACTTCTCAATTCTGGAAACACAGCCCTACCACTTGGTTCTCTTCCAATACCAATTAAAGTCTTCTCAAAAATTTTCTTTAGGTCTCTTTGAAAGATAGGAATTAAATCCAGTTCTCTCAAGAAATAAGTTCTGTTACTTTTTCTTTGTTCTCTTTTCACCCATCATTTTAACAATCTCTCCAGAATCCTCACACTCCTCACAGAATAATAGTTAATGCTCCAAGATTCCATTCTCTCTTAAAGATACAGTACCAATATCTATAGTACCTGTATGAAGACTTGAAGAAAGTATTATACATTCTTAAAAAAAAAAAACCACAAAACTTGTTAGAAAAAGTATCATTCCTTTTCAATATCAGTATGGAACTATTAGACACAAGGGTAGAAGAGATAATTATTAAATGTTCATAGTACACGCTAGTGGTTGACTGTCAGTCATGTGTTGAAGGGGTACCGCAGGAAAAAGAGTCTTCCTCATTGCTTAACCTGAATGGTATTAAAATGAAGTGTCTTAGGAAGAAGGTAGCGATCTAGAGGTAGTCCATTATATTTTCTATGTATTCTGGATATTCCTGTTTATATTCTGTCTCTAATAGACTGTAAGCTCCCTGAAGGCAAGGACTGTTTCATTTTTTGCTTTAGGATAGAGCCCAGCATCTAGAAGGTGCTTGCTGACTGACTGCCACTGATAAACTTGATGCTGACAGTACTCAACATGTTTCCGAACAACTAGATAAGCATGTGACCACAGCCCCAGGCTGATATTTAGTTCAGATTTAAGGAAATCAGCCCAGACCACTAAGAATTCTTGTTGTCCAGTGGCTGCTCAGGATCTTCAAAAATCTACCCACATCACTTCTGATGGCTATTTCCAAGTTTCATACTTTCGGACTGTCCCTGGGCCTAAAACTTGGGAAGACTGCTCCCAATGCTATGAGCAAAAGGGCAATTATCCCAAATAAAAGACAAAAACTGTCAGATTCCTGAACATTCTCTCCTTGTTATCTACTGAAAAATCATTTGATTCAAAAGTCAAATTTGATACAATTCTTGAATCATAAATTAAGTCCCATGAGTCATTTTGATTATGGGAAAATAGCCATGTGAATAAATTATACATAAGTTTATAATTTAGAGTTTATGTGAAGTAGTGGATGCGTGGACTCCAAGTTAGAAGACAGGTCCAAATCCTACTTCTGACACTTATTATCTCTGGGACCCTGGGCATGTCACTTAGCCTCTATGTGACTCAAGTAAGACCCTAGGGGATTTATATATGCTATGTATTAGATAGGTTGGATCTGCCTTGGTAGAAGGAGTTTCCCATACTGAGGAAATCACAGATTCTTATATCTTCATGTAAGTTATTTTCAAAATCATCATTTCACATAATTAAAAGGCAAAAACTAGAATAATATAAAATCTAATGACATTTCCATATTGCACATTTGGTAAAACACCATATGTTAGTTTACAAAGATGCTGGCTAGAGATACTAATTTAGTTTAGAAAGAAGGATAGGTTTAAAATCATATAGCAAGCAGACATGAAAAGGCCAAATACTCACTCCACAGCTCATTTAAATGCTACAAGAAAATAAATACCTCCCAAGGCACCACTGTGGTCCAGACTCTTCTTTTTTAAGCCATTAAATGCAATCAAAACAGGAACTATCACAGAAAACAGCCATCGCCACGGAGAAACAGGGTGCAAGGAACCTGAAAAAAATCCAATTAATAGCAAAGATCTTGTTAAGCATGGTCAAAGTGACCAGACTCTGCAACGATCTCCAATATACCCATTAAAAGTTAGACATGGTTACTGGTTAGCTGACATGTGCATTTGCAGCCGGATAAACCTACAAATGGATCCTGTCCAAGTTTGCATTAAATAGCCCAAGCAGTTAGGTGGCTCAGTAGAACAGACTGATGGGCGTGGAGTCAGGAAGACCTGAGTTCAAATGTGGCCACTCACAACCCAGGTGACCCTGAGCAAGTCAATTAACCTACCTCAGTTTCCTTGGTGGTAAAATGGGAATAATAATGGCATCTATTTCCTAAGGTTGTTGTGAGGATCATTTGCACAGCACCTGGTACAGAGTAGGCACTTTATAAATGCTTGTACTTTTCTTTCCTCCAACCTCAACTTTCATGGCTGGTTTTGAATCAAAAGGGTCTTCAAATCTGCGGAAGACCCACCTGGCTACACAAATATCAGCCTACACATTGGTAGATTTCCCAACTTGACCACCAAGTTACAACGGCATAATGTATGTGTAAGAAGGAACCCTTTTATATGTCAAATAATTTCATGGATCTCCAATATGACAGCAATTATGGGACTACAGTTACTGTTATTATTATTCACCTTAGCATTTAACACAGTGCTTGGAATACAGTAGGCATTTAATAAATGCCTGCTGACTATAGTATCCACTGACTGATGAATTATTTTTAAAAGCTGACATAAATTCAGTAATGCTTTACAATTAATATTTAATCATACATTAAAAGCAGTAAGAATTATATGTACAAGACATTATGTACTCTGTCTGCAGGAGGTAAATTTGCTTATTTATAGACTTGAGAACCTCTGGTAATAATTCTGCACCACCCCTACCCTGAGGGTCCTAGACCCACAGGCTGGGAACCACTGACTGTGTGATCTGGGATAAGTCAAATAAACCTCTTAGTAGCCTAGGCAACTCCTTAAGAGTGTATGTTACAGAGATGTTGACTAACATTGGTGGTAGAAATTTTCTTAGCTGTAAGGGACCTGTACGCATTAAACCAAAGGTCCAGTTCCTATCTCTATATCTCAAAAGATCAAAGATATGCTCTTAGAATGTCAAAAAAACTATGTAAAATTACCTTCAGGATAAAAAGAAAAAGCCAAGTTAAGACTGTCCTCTTGAAAATGACCCATCTCCCCCCAAAAGAAACCCAACCCAAATTATAGAAAGACCCAATCTTTCTTTCTGAAATTCTTCTATGGTAAAAGTGAAAAATCAGATGAAGAATTAAAGTACTATAAATTATTCAAAAAGAAAGCCCTAAGTCAAAGTCACAAAACTATTTTGTAGTTCCCTGGTCTTTAAATCTCAACAGACTGTACACTAAGAATTTCAAAAGTTATATTAAATGAAACAATATTAGGCACCAAGCCCCTGTGAAGTTAATCCATTCATTTTTGGAATTCCTGCCCTGAGGCCCAGAAGCCTTGCTTCCAAACCAAGTGACTGTAAACCAGCCCACTTATGCTTCCTAATGCCTCCAAGACCAAATACAAAATGCTGGGTTTGGCATTCAGAGCCCTTCATAAAATAGCTCCCTAGCCTTAACACCACACTGCCCAACGTCTACTCTTAGATCCAGCAACACTGGCCTCCTAGTCTTGTTCCAGGAACAAGACACTTCCCATCTCTCAGCTTTGGGCATTTTCTTTGCCTGTCCCCAATGCTTAAAATACTCTCCCTCCTTCACTTGGAATACTGACTTTTCCAGCTTCCTTTAAGTCCCAGGAAACCTTTAAATTCCAATGCCTTCCTTCTGTTAATTATTTCCTATTTCTCCTGTACATAGCTTGTTTTGTATATATTTGTTTGCATGTTGTTTTCCCCTTAGATAGTAAGCTCCTTGAAGGTAGGGCCTTTTTTTCTATCCCCAGCACTTTTAGCCCACAGCCACAGTAGGTCCTTAATAAATGTTTATTTGACTGAAAATCAATACTACTAACAACTCAGAACTATTTTCAAAGGGCTATAAAACTGTGCATACCTTTTGACCCAGCAATACCACTTAGAGGGCTGTACCTATTTGTATAAAAATATTTATAGCAGCTCTTTTTGTGGTAGCAAAGAACTGGAAATTGAGGGGATGCCCATCAATTGGGGAATGGCTGAACAAGTTGTGGCATGTGATTGCAATGGAATTCTATTGTGCCATAAGAAATGATGAGCAGAATACTTTCAGAAAAACCTCGTTAGACTTACATGAACTGGTGCAAAGTGAAGTGAGCAGAACCAGGGGAACACTGTACACAGTAACAGCAATACTATATGATGATCAACTGTGAATGACTTAGCTAGTCTCAGCAATACAACGATCCAAGACAATTCTAAGGGACTTATGATGAAAAATGCTATCCACCTCTAGAAAAAGAACTGAAGGAGTCTGAATGCAGATTGAAGCATATTTTTTTCATTTTATTTAATTTTCTTGTTTTTTTTTCCTGCAAAGTGGCTAATATGGAAATGTTTTGCATGATTTCACACATATACCTGACATCACATTTCCTTCCTTCTCAATTGATGAGGGAGAGGTGGAAGGGAGAGACTTCAGAACTCAAAATTAAAAAAAAAAGTTAAAAATAAATAATTTTTTAAAAAGATCTGTTCAGTTGACTGACTACTCTATCAATCCATCATCCCTGTCTCCCCAGATTCAAACTCTTTCCTAGCACCCATTCCCCAATGTGTTGTTTTTCCCTAGTAGAATGAAAGCTGCCAGAGTGAAGAAATTGTTTCTTTGGGGGGGAGGGGTATTTGCATTGCTCAGCACAATGCCTAGTGCACAGTAAAAGACTTAATAAATGTCTTTTAATTTTCAAGAACCAGCTAAGTAGTAAAGTGGAGAGCCACTGAGTTAAAAAACATTTACCAATAGCCTATGAAGCCCCAAGTACTGCACTAAGATCTTGAGATACAAAGAAAGGCAAAAAAACAGTCCCAGCCCCTCATGAAGCTCACCATCTAATGAGGGAGACAACATACAAACAAACAACTATGACCATGACAGAGTGCTGAGCCTGGAGTCTTAAAAGACACAAATCCATCGTAAAACACTAACTGTGTGACCCCGGGCAAGTCACTTAACCCTGCTTGCCTCAGTTTCCTCATCAAGAAAATGAAAATTAAAAATAGCACCTACCTCCCAGTGTGGCTGGGAAGGTCAAATAAGATAATTTTTGTAAATTGCTTTACAAAGCTTAAAATACTAGATAAATATTAGCTATTGTTATTATTTCAATGCATTCATTTATGATATCTGACATACAATTTCATTTGAAATAGTTCCATTTTTAACTACTTGTGATGATTAAGAGAAGCAGCAAGGTGCAATAGATAAAGAGCCAGCCTTAAGGTTAGGAAGACCAGGGTTCGAGAACTACCTCTAAATTACTAGCTATGTGACCCCAGACAAGTCACTTAACCTACTATTGGACTTGAAGATTCTCCAAGACTTTAAGTGGTAGAATAGGAGCAGACTGGCCTTGGCAGAGGGAATTTACTCACAGATAACTCACCATACTAATGAAATCATGGTTCCGCTCCAAGAAAAAAAATTACAAAAGTATTCCAATTTATTTATGATCATGTTAGGAAATCTGCCATTTTTAGGCAGGCATTCCTGGAGTCAGAATGACCCTATCCAAGCTTGAAGACTGTTTAAGGCAGGGGGTTCTTAAGTTGGATATATTTCAGAGGGCTGGGGAACTTGAACTGGGAAAAAAAAATTTATCTTTATTTTCATTATCTTCGAATTGAAATTTAGCATTTCCTTCAATTATGAAGAGGCAACAAGATGTTATTCTGAGAAGGGGTCCAGAGGCTTCACAGGCCTGCTAAAGGAATCCACTACACACACACGTATCATATTTTTATACATACACACACACACACTCTCTCTCTCTCTGTGTTAAAACAGAACCCTTGATTTAGGATTATTTGAAGCCACCCATAGCCAAAAGGTAAGAAATGCAGTGAATATGCCTTTATTTTTCAAGTTAGTCGGCTGGATTAACTATACTGATAATTACGTAATCAGGAATTAAGAACAACCAACCTGTTAAAAGGCATACACTTGAAAAGATGGAGGGGTAGAAAAGGTGCCATTTTAATATAATTTAGAAGCTAAAGACGAGTAAACAAACCTTTATACTTACCATAATAGGTGCTTGCAGTCATAGACACAATCCAGAAAGATAAAGAAATGAAAAGAATGAGGCTCAGGATAATTATATTAGTCATCATTTTTATATATCCTTTGCATATATTGGCATCAAGATCTTTCATGGGATATAAGGAAGCGATCATCTGGGAAGGAAATAAATACACCGCCTTTTTGGAAAAAGTCAAGTAAAACATTCTTTTAAAGGCAAGCAAACAAACAAACAAACAAAAAATCCACCCCCGCACAAAACAAAAAGCCCCCAAATTGACAGTATCTCCTATGGAAGAGGGGGAAAAAAGAAGGCTGCTTCCAATCTGCAGCTGCAGCTGCTGTTAAGAATCGATTCTCAGATTGGAAACGCAGCAGAGTCCAGGAGGAAAACGCGGCCATTGAGGCAGAGAAGGCGAGGGCTCTAACCTGCCCATTCTTGTCCTCTGGCCGCCCAAGGCAAGGAGGTGAGGGTTCCCCCACCCCTCCCAAGGAAAGGAGGCAGGGGCGTCTCTTCCAGCCAACCAGACCGGGCTGGGGAAGGAGGCAGGGGGTGCGCCCTGGGGCCCCCTCTTGCCGCAACCTCGGAGGAGGCTTCTTCCCACGCCCCCAGCCCCAGGCGGGGACAGATGGGAGGGGGACCCAGAGCCCCAGCCAGCCGCGCTGCAGGTCTCCAAGGGCATGCGCTCTGCGGGGGACACCTGGGACCCCCAGCTGCGGGGCAGCTGCGTCCAGCTGTCCCCACCCCCCCCCACCCCCCACCCCCCCCACCACCGACCGGCCGGCGCCGCTCACCTACAGGAAGGCCCTTTGCTGCATCGGGAAGAAGGAGAGCAGGCTCCGCCTGCTCCCCGGCTCGGCCCTCCCAGCGCATGCTCCGAGCCGAGCAAATCAGGCAACGGGAAAGGCTCTGGGCTCACGTGGGCGGTCAGGGAAGCGAGCCGAGGTCAAGGACAAGGCCACGGGAGTGGGGGCTGCGTCGGGGTCTCCAGCTTCGCTGCGCGGTCTGTCTGCAGCACCCGCGTCCTTGGCTGCAGCATGCAAGCCTTCTCGTGTGGGTGGGATTATAAATTTAGCATTGGAAGCGACCTTGGAGGTCATGGAGACAAAAATCTGTATTTTTACAGAGGGGGAAACTGAGGCCCAGAGAGGTGGGAAAGAATAATAATAATAACAACAACAACAACACCTATTTAGCACTTACTATGTGCCAGGCACTGGCTAAAGCCATGCTGCTTTACAATTATCTCATTCGATGTCCCCCACAACAACCTTGGGTGATAGGTGCAATTATTTTCCCCATTTTACAGATGAGGAAACTGAGGTTCAGTGACTTGCCAAGGATCACCCAGCTACTGAGGCTGGATTAGAACTCAGGACTTACTGATTCAAGTCTGATTCCCTATCCACTGTACCAACTAGTGACGACCTACCCAAGGTTGCAGAGGATGTTGGTAACTGTTTAATAATGGGCTCTCCAAATTAAGAAAAAAAAGTACGGGGACCCATAATTTTATCTGCGCTATTAACGTTTTCTCCATTACATTAAGTCTAGACATCAGCAAAACAATAAAGTCAAACCCTTTTTTGTAGTTTTTGCAGATTCCGAGATGAAACTGTAAGCAAAGTGACTTGCTTGGCGATCACACCATGATCCATGTGGCTACTAAGCGCCTGGCACTGTGCTCAGTCTTGGAGATTCAAAACGGGTTGGGGGGGGGGAGCAGAGGCAAAAGATAGTCCCTGCCCCAAAGGAACTTGCATTCTAGTCCAGCATCGAAGGCTATGCAAAGTGTATGTACTTAGATCCACAAAATTTTTTTGTGTATGAGACCAATGATTTCTTTGGTATAGGGAACTCGAGTCCAGGAAAACTCCTACCAGCCAACATCTGTACCCATTAATTTTAGAGAGCTGCCTGGTATGTTGAGTGGTTAAGTCGTTTGCCCAGGGTCTCACAGCCAGTATATATCAGAGGCAGTATGCAGACACAGGTCTTCCTGACTTCCAGGCCTTCTCTTAATTCACCAGGCTGGGGAAGTGTTTATTTTGCATTTACAAAATAAACACAAGGGGAAGGAGGGAAGAGGGAAGACATCAGTACTGGGAAGGGTGTTCAGGGAAGAATTAAGTAAGTATCTGGATAAATATGAATCTAGTTCTTTCTGATTCCAAGGCCAACAAACAAATTTATTATGCTGTGTTGTAAAAATTGTGCTAGGTTGGTTGGTTTGTTTGTTTTAGCATGTAGATTGTGGAATCAAGCTTTCCTTATCACATTACTTTATCTGGTTTGTTTATTGGGAGAGGCACTGTGGTGTAGTGGATAGAAAGTTGGTTTCAGTACAAAAGACTTGAGTTTTGTCCCACCTTTGACACACTGTGACTGCCTAACTCACAACCTCAGTGACCTCAGTAAAATTCTAAGTTGAAGAGTATTTCCTAACCTGTATTCATAGAAATTTCCGCTTAAGTTGTTCCCTACATCTACAGCTAGGTGGTGCAGTCCAGCTTTTGAGTCATGAAGAGCTGAGTTCAAATTTGACCTCAGACCCTTACTGGCTGTGTGATCCTAAGCAAGTCACTTAACCCTGTTTGCCTCAGTTTCCTCATCTGTAAAATGAGGATGATAATAATAGCACCTATCTCACAGAGTTGTTGTCAGAATCGAATGAGATAATTATAAAGTGCTTAGTGAAGTACCTGGCATTTAGTAAGCACTATATGAATATTAGCTATTATTATTATTGTAAAATTTCAGTTCTTTCTCTGCCAAAGTGACATTTAAGTGAGTTGAGAATATTTGTCAAAACTCTTAAGTTTGTACTCAATTCTCTTTAATGATGAGTCCTTCAAGTCTCAGCTGAAGTTCTACTTTCTGCAAGAGGCCTTTTCCAGTTCTCCTTATTCTCAGTGCCTGCCCTCTGAGACTATTACAATTTATACTGTACACATGTATCTCATTTGTACGTAGTTTGCATGTTGTTTCCTGGAATTAGACTGTGAACTCCCTGAGAAGAGAGGCTGTTTTTTGCCCTTTTTTTTATCTTCTGTGCTTAGCTCAGTAGCTGGCACATAGTAGACTTTAATTAATACTAGCTGACTGGAGTAATTCTTCTACTCAAAGGGTATGACATTTACATACTTGAATTTATCTTATCAATGATAACTAACAATTTATCAATGAAACAACATAAAATTGGTTATAAGTTCTTTCAACAGGTAACCTGGAATTTTTGCTTACTTGTACATCTTAAATAAAGGCAGCTAGGTAGTAAAGTGAATAGAGTGCCTGGCCTGGAGTTAGAAAGACTCCTCTTCATGAGTTCAAATCTGACCTTGGACACTTACTAGCTCTGTCACTTTGAGCAAGGTTTGCCTCATTTTCTTCATCTGTAAAAAGAGCTGGAGAAGGAAATGGCAAACCTCTCCAGTATTTTGGCCAAGAAAACCCCAAATGGGGTCACAAAGAGTTGGACATGACTGAAAAATGATTCAACAACATCATAAATAGGAATTTTGTGAAAGGGCATCAGAAAAGACTGTAGAATTAGAGCTTGACCTTGACAAATTTATGTTGGGTAAGTTATGTACCTGTAGTACCTACCTCACAGGGTTGATAGGAAGCTCAAATGGGATGTAAGTAAACCACCACACAAACCCAAACCTTTATAGAAATATCAGCAATTATTATTATTGAGAATCGGACTTTGTGCCATGCTTTGTAGTATTTACCTATAGCTGAGTTAACCTGTGTACAATTGTTAGTCTAGATTTTGTCAGTCAAGAAACATTTATTGAGCACCTACTAGGCACTGTGCTAAGCAGTGGCGAAAGAGACAAAAGACAGTCCCTATGCTCACAGAGCTTAAAAATAGGAAATAATTAACAGAAGCAAGGCACTAGAATTAAGAAGAGGGGTTGGGAAAGGCTTCTTGTAGAAGGTAGGTTTTTAGTTGGGACGTGCAGGAAGCTAGAGAAACCAGTAAACAAAAATGAGGAGGGAAAGCATTCCAAGCATGGGTGGCACCCAGTCAAAATGCCTGCAGCTGAGAGATAGAGTGTCTGGTTTGAGGAACGGCCAGGCCAGTGTCACCGGATTGAAGAGTATGAGGTGGGATGTAAGGTGTTAAGAAGACTGGAAAAGTGAGGGGGGGAGGGTTAGGTAATGAAGTGCTTGGAACATTAAGGAGAGGATTTTATACTTAATCCTGGAGGAGACAGGGAGTCACTGGAGTTTATTGAGTAGGGGGGTGCTGTGGTCAGACCCATGTTTTAGAAAAATTGTTTTAGTGCCTAAATGGAGGGTGAACTGGACTGGAGGAAAACTTAAGACAGATAGAAGGACCAGCAGGCTATTACAATATTAGTGGTGAAAGTCATGACAGCCTGTACCCGAGTGGTAGCAGTGTCAGAGGAGAGAATTACTTGTTATTTGTTGTTTATCCTTCCGTTCTGGAAGAAGACCAATGCTATCATGAGGGTGAAGTGTTGGCTGGTAAGTGAATTGGATTTAAGTGAGGTAGAGTAGAGCAAAGTCATCGGCCTCACTTTCTCCTCCAAAGTCACTGGAGTCCAGTGGCAAGATATATGTCAAGAAGACTGGTGATGGCCTGGCCAGAGGAGAGAAGATGGCATATTCAAGAGATGTTGCAAAAGTGAAATCAGCAGGCCTTGGCTACAGCTTGAATATGGGATGTGAGAGATTGTGAGGAGTCTAAGATGACTTTTACATTATGTACCTAAAGGACTGGGAGGATGGTGTTACCCTCAACGGTAACAGGGAAAAGGGAGGGGCAGGGAGGTTTAAGGGAAAAGATACTGAATCTAGTTTTGAACATGTTGAGTTTAAAATGGCTATTGGATATCCAGTTCCAGATATCTGAAAAGTAGTTGGAGATATTAAATTGGAGGTCAGCAGAGAAGTTAAGGCAGGATAGATAGATTTGAGAATCATCAGCATAGAAATAGTAATTAAATCCACTGGAGCTGATGAGAGCACCAAGTGAAGTAATATAGAAGGAGAAGAGAAGAGAAGAGGGCCCAGGACATAGTACTCTGGGACACTTAGTGGGAGTAACCTGGATGAATATCCAGCAAAGGAGACTGAAAAAGAAAGTTCTGATAGGTAGGAGGAAAACCAAAAGAGAGGGGTGTCTCAAAAAACTTGAGAGAAGAGAGTGTCCAGGAGCAGAGAGTGATTAACACTGTCAAAGGCCACAGAGAGGTCAAGAAGAATGGAGAGTGAGAAAAAACATTGCATTTGGCATTTAAGAGATCACTGGTAACTTTGGAGAGAGCAATTTTGGTGGAATGAATGGTGGAGTTGAAAGCTAGATTGCAAGGGGTTAAGAAATGAGTGAGAGGAGAGAAAGTGGAGGCACCAATCTGTAGATGGCCTTTTCAAGGACTTTGGCCACAAAGGGCAGGAGAGATAGAAAATGAAAACAGGGATGGAAGGATTGAATGAGAGGATTTTTGAGGGTTATTTGCTGAACCTGTGCCATAATTATTGATTATTATATCTTCCTAAGAAATCAGCATTTAATTTTACTCAGTGGATCAGTGGTTTTTTAAATGTGCTACATATATTTTCTCATTATACTTATTATTATTTAAAATTCTGATCTTAGTTCTGATAAGCCAGTAGTCTGTACATAGACATTTGACTCAGGGATACCTATCTCATGAATATGTTTAAAAACCACACACTTGTTTCATTCTTCATGGCACTATTTGGTATCCCCAGCACAAATTCTGGTTCACAGTAAGAGCTTAATAAATACTTATTGACTGCCTGGCTCAGCATACCAATTCTTTCTTTTTTTTCTTCCTTCTTTCCTTCTTTTCCTTTCCTTTCCTTTCTTTTCTTTCTTATAAAGTATTCATAATATAGAGCAAGGATTTTTAACCACTTTTGTTTCAGGGACCCTGTAGTTAATCTGGTGAAGCCTATGGACCACTTCTCAGAATGTTTTTAAATATATAAAATAAAACACATAGGGATATAAAGGAAACCAATATATTGAAATATAGATATCACTTTTTTTTTCAAAGTTCACAGACTCCAGGCTAGGAACTCCTGATATAGATGCATAAAGTTTATATATTATTTACACATCTTTGACTTCTCTCCTTTTATTTTTCTTAAGCCACATATTTCTCTTCATCCTCACATTTTCCCATCTTTGTACTGAACTCATTAAGTATCAGCATGCATGCTGATTTGACTCGAGGGTTTTATCAAGTGCTGCACAAAGTCCTACTCTGATGCTTCATCTGGAAGAGACTCTGGGTCCTTGAACATTCTATCAATGGAGCACAAACTTTGTTGCAGGTTCTGTCATACTGGAAAGGCTTCAAGTATGACCCCAGGAACAGTTCTTGTCTATTTTTTTTCTTGTTTATTTTCCAAGGGCCCAAACAGCGAATTACAGAGAAGCACATCATCAGAAGTCTGGCCACGTTACTTGAAAGCTTCTTTTGGCCATGGCAACCCATGAAAAAGAAAAGAAAATAAAATGCTTAATTTCATCTGTCAAGATGTATGTCTCAGATACCCTTTGATCCAGCAATGCCATTACTAGGTTGGTATCGAAAGAGATCATAAAAATGGAGAAAGGACCCACAAGTACAAAAATATTTATAGCAGCTTTCTGTGGTGGCAAAGAATTGGAAATTGAGGGGATGCTGATCAATTGGGGAATGGCTGAACAAGTTGTGGTATATGAATGTAATGGAATACTATTATGCTATAAGAAATTATGAGCAAGTGGACTTCAGAAAAACCTGGAAAGACTTATATGAACTGATACTGAGTGAAATAAGTAGAACCAGCAGAACATTGTACACAGTAACAGCCACATTGTGTGATAGCTGACTTTGATAGACTTTGATCTTCTCAGCAATGCGAGGATCTAAGACATCTCCAAAAGTCTCATGATGGAAAATGCTATCCACATCCAGAGAAAGAACTATGGCATCTGAATGCAGATCCAAGCATAGTACTTTCTCACTTTTTTTCATCTGTTTTCTTTTGTTTCCTCTTTCTTGTGGTTTCTGCTATTGATTCTAATTCTTCCTTACATCATGACTAATGTGAAAATATATTTAATAGGATTGATATGTAGAGCCTATATCAGATTGTCTTGGGGAGGGAGGTGGGGAGGGAAGAGTAGAAAAATTTAAAACTCAAAAGCTTATGGAATTCCAGTATTGTTGAAAACTGAAAATAAATTAATTAATAAAAAAAAGAAAAGAAAAAAAATGATGAGCAGGCAGATTTCAGAAAAAAACCTGGAAAGACTACATGAGCTGATGCTGAGTGAAGTAAGCAGAACCAGGAGAACATTGTGTACAGTGACAACAACATTGTGCTATGATCAACTAGGATAGACTTAGCTCTTCTCAGCAATACAATGATCCAAGAAAATTCCAAAAGACTCATGATGGAAAATGCTAGCCACATCCAGAGAAAGAACTATGGAATCTGAATGCAGATCGAAGCATACCATTTTCACTCTTTTCTTTCTTGTGGTTTTTCTCTTTTGTTCTGATTCTTCTTTCACAACATGACTAATGTGGAAATATGTTTAATGTGATTGTACATGTATAACCTAACATGTATAACTCATGACAAGTTCAAATTGTGCTCATTAAAGGAGACAAATATGATCTTGCAATTTCCTGTAGAATAAATTCACCTGGAATGTAGGGATGGTTGCAGTTTTTGATTTTTGTATCCACAGTGTCTAACCACAATGCTTTCTGTATAGTACACTTAAAAATATTTTTTGAATTGAATTGAATGGTGTGGGACTCCCATTTACTGACTCAATTTGTTCTCTTTGTTACCATATATTCCCTTCCACTTCACTGGGGTAGGAACTCAGTGTCTCCTTGATCTAGAAAATCTAGGTAAAATTTTTTGGTCCTCCCTTTGTACCAGAGAAGAAGTCTGAATTGTTATGGTATTAAAAGATAAAATATGTTAATATTATAGAATACTATCCACATATTTTATATATTTAAGTTTCTAAACTTTTTGTGTGTCATCTGTTGGCCTTCGTGTGTCATTTTCACATCTGTAGCTTCTGCTAAAAAACTCCCCAATTACCCTTTAATTTCTTATACTGACCCATGTGAAACCTCAATGGGAAAAGTCATGATGTGGAAGGGATAACTGTATATTCTTGTATTTTTTACATACCTTAATTTCTTCCCCCTTTGCCTCAAAATGTTAACATACTTGAAAAAAGTTGTTACCTCCACAACACAAGCTGGACAAATTCTCACGGTGGTCTCAATAGGCCAAATTAGTACAAGGAGTAGGTTATTACTATTCCTTTTCTTCATTTCTACTACTCCTTGTTCTGTCCTGCCTCTCAAAAAAAAGCTCCCAAGATGCAGAACACTGCCCCCAAACCGATAGATATTATGGTACCCTCTAGGGGTGTCTCAAGATAAAGCAAAATGATTAAAAGGAAATAGGTGGGAATTTGGTCCAGAAAAATAATGCAGCTGAGATGTAATGAAGAACTAGTCTTTGTTTAATGCTAAGAATACAAACTCAGGCTTTTTCTACCGATGTAGTCAAATATAAATATGAATCTTCCAAAGAGTGATGAAGAAGCCTTGTGGCCCAGTGACTTGAAGTCAGGAAGACCTGGGTTCAAATGCCACCTAACTAGCTGGTTGACATCCAGCAAATACTTGAACCACTCTCAGCCCCGGGTTCCTCATCCACAAAATGTGCATAATTACACCTGTAGTACCTACGTGTAAGTAAGGTGGATTTTGTTATTCTTTTTTTTTTTTAGATAATAGTTCCCAGCAGGATTTCACATTGTAAACAAATTCTACTGTGACTGTGCAGTGAGACATAACAATGAGGTAATGTAAACATTTGAGTTAAATTATAAATAACCTACTGTGTCTTTGTCTTGGAAATGCTAAGTCATAAGGATATTGCTAGAGTTAAAGTAAACTTGTGAGGCTATTGCTGGAAAATTGCCTCCTTTGTGTGCTTTTCTATAAATCAATAGAGCATTGATCGTTGAGAGGGGATTTGGGGAATGTGACAGCTAGGAAGGCTGTGCATGCCTTGATTGGCCCCCGTCAAGGCTTGGAGGGGGGATTTGTGAATGTGCTTGCCTCAGCTGGTCCCCATTGAGGCTTAGGGGGAATGCACAAGCTGGAATGCTGTGCTGCCTTGACTGGCCCCCATCAAGATAAGAGCCTTGCTCTTACATAGGGATTGTTGCCCCATTCCCGAAGCCCCCTGTGAGAAGAGTAATTAGGGAGGAGAAGCTGTAGGAGCTGGTGCTGCCATTATCAGCAACCCACTTGAGAAGAATAAAGTAAATTACTTAACCCCTCATTGTCTCCATTCCTGTCTTTCTGGCTGTCCAGAACCTGCTAGAAGCTACAGCCCAAAACCTCCGGTGTCCCAATAACACAGGTTTTATGAAGATCAAGTGAACTATTGAATGTAAATTGCTTTGCAAACTTAAAAATGCTACGTCTGTTTTGTTATTATTACAAAAAAAAAAGGAAGTAGGAGGCTGATGTTGACTTGCTAAACCCCAGATCATTTCTTATTCTCTAACAATCTGCTCTGCAGATTTACTGGATTGGCAGCCCCTCCTATCTTAACTGCCACTAACTTGATCTAGTGTGCAGTTCCAATCTGTCTGGGCCTAAGGTATGGAAGAAGGCTTCATTTTTTTTTTAACCAATTGAGCCATGATAAGTTTGAAAAAACAGCCTCAAAACTTTACTAGGCAAATGGGGTTAAGTGACTTGTCCAGGGTCACATAGCTACTATGTGTCAAGTGTCTGAGGCAGGATTTGAATGCAGGTTCTCCTGATTCAAGGATAGAGCTCTATCCACTGCACCACCTAGCTATCCCTAGCAATTTTTTTTTTTATATTTGGCTAGGCAATGGGGTTAAGTGACTTGCCCAGAGTCACACAGCTAATAAGTGTTATGTATCTGAGGCCGCATTTGAACTCAGGTCCTTCTGAATCCAGGGCCAGTGCTCTATCCACTGCGCCACCTAGCTGCCCCAGCAATTTTTTTTTTAAAGCAAACACAAAACAACATAAGACATTAAAGTTCAAGGTGAAGGGGGATGTCACCCTGACATGAGGTGTAATCCTATTAGGAAATAAAGGAAATCTGTAGGGTTGGGTACGGCCTATGACCTTGACTGCTGACTCTGGTTCCCCCTTTATTGCATTTAGGCAATGGTCAATTCTTCTCTGATTCATTGTAAGCACTTAATAAGTATTTATTGATTCTCCTAGCTCTTGTCAGTTTATTATTAAGCAAACACTGACAGTACCATCCATCGAACACAATGAAATCTAATGGCAAGAATTTTAGATGTACCCTGTATATGGTTTCTGAAAAATAAATTTTATTCATATTTTGTTGTCCTAGTAACTTGCTAACTCTTCTCTCAGTATTTTCCTGTAAAACAGGTTAAATGAAATTTAACTGGTGCCTTAGAGCAGTGGTGTCACACTGAAATAGAAATGGATCTCTGCAGGCTTCTTAGTGACTTAAACCATACATTAACATCTATGCTATATTATATTTTTAAAAAAATGTTAAATACTTCTCAACTGCATTTTAATCTGGGTTGCCCGTGGGAAGTTTTGCATGAGTTTTACACCTCTGTCTTAGAGTACATTCCCTTGCCAGTTATGTTTCTGACTGTCTTGGACTTCACTACCAACACTCAACAGCCTTCTTATTTTTCAAATTCTCTCAGCACCTAGGGCCTTCTTACCCTGGGGATATCCCTCCACCATCCCATTCCCCTTCTCCCATTGACGAGTTCCTTTGGGGGCCCTCCATTTTGGGGACTGACCTGCCCAGGCTGGCCATGCCTTATTTCTCTCCAGGCCAAACTTCTGACTATCTGGACGTTGCCATCACGGCCCTCCTTAACTACCTTTCTTCCCATTACGCCTCCCTTTCAGCTTCCTTTTATGTATTGTCTTTCCCAATTAGAATATAAGCTCTCTAAGGGCAGCTATAAAATGAGAAAATACTTGTAAAAGACTTGGCAAAGTACCTGGAACATAGCAGGTACTATGTAAATATTTATTATTATCATTAGTTTTTGCTCACATTTGTATACCCTAGTACTTAGCTCAGTAAGACTTAATAAATGCTTGTTGCCTGCCTCCCTGTTTTTAGTCTGCTATTTATTAAAAGGAAGGATGTGTTTTGACTTTAGTAATTTGGAACCAGTTTTATGTATTGCATTTGAGCTGTGTTTTGTTGTGTTTTCATGCATTTTACATCTGTAGTGGATCCATATTTTAGTTCTTCTCTCTTCACTCTATTGTTTCTCTGAATTCTTCATACTTATGCTCCCTTCGAACATAGTAATATCCTATTACGTTCATGTACCACAATTTATCCAGCCATTCCTCAATCATTGGGCACATAATTTGTGAAATAATTTCATTAGAATATCTAAAATGTGGATTATTATATTTTTCACCAAACCAACTTCTTCCGAATTGACAATTTTAGTAGGCTGCAGTCAGCTATCTTTATCTAGTTTTACATGTTTGAAACATCAGTGTTTATTTTTTATTGTTCTTTCTCCCTTACCTATCACATCTAGTTATCAAGTCCAATTGATAACGTTTCCCACATTTTCACCCTTCTTCTGGGCCATCACGGTGGCAAAAAGTTTCCTCATAGGATGAACTGGAGGTCACCCCTCCACTCCATTCTTCTGGTCACTTTTCAAACCAAGTTTCCTTATGCATGAATTTTTCATAATGTTTCTTTTCTCAAAATCTTCCATTGGCTTCCTGATGCAGTTGAATAAAGTTCAAATTTCCTGCCTACTATACCTTTCTAGTTGTAGCTTGTCAAAGGCCTTCAGGAAACCTTCCCTGATTCCTTTCCACCTACCCTCAGGTCTTATCTTTATTTACTTCTAATGAACTCATGAATTCTAGTTGTATGTCACAGCTTCTTTGTGTTCTAGGTCAAAGATTTCACATGCAGCTTCCACTCAGGATTTGACAGAACCAGATTAAAATGCAATCGGGAAATATTTAACAAAATAAATTAAAATACAATAGAATATAGATAAAGGGTAGCAAGGTAGTGCTGGCCCTGGAGTCAGAAAGTTCAGATCCAGCCTCAGACATTTACTAGCTGTGTGACCCTGGGCAAGTCACTTAACCCTGCTTGCCTCAGTTTCCTCATCTGTAAAATGAACTGGAGAAGGAAATGGCAAACTACTTCAGTATCTCTGCCAAGAAAACCCTTGGTCACAAAAAGTGAGACACAACTGAAATGATTAAACAACAAGGAACAAAGGTAATGTTAATATGTGGTTTTCTAAGACAATATGTGGACAGGCAGGGATGCTTATGAATAGTACTGACCCTGTTTCTTTTTGAATTTGACACTGCTGTGATCTAGAAAATTCCCTAAGACTATAATATAAAGTTTAGTCAAGATACTGGCCTTCATTGGTAGGGGATTTTCTGCATCTGGGAGTTCTCTATACTGATTAAATCATAACTTTTTACCTATTCAGCAGGCAATAGGAAGCCAATAAAATATTTTGGTTGTAAAAAATAGATTGTCAATTTCATGAAAGCAGATAGAGTGAATCTAAATCTTATTTGAACCTTGTATCATTTAGCTCCCAGCAGATGGTCCATAGGTAGATTTCAGAAGGTCAGTGAATTTGGATGGGAAAAAAGTACATATTTATTTTCACTAATTTGTAACTAAAATATAAAAAAAATTATTCTAAGGAGGGGCCCAGAGACTTTACCAGTCTGCCAAAAGGTTCCATAAAACAAATAAACAAAAAAAAGATTAAGAACCCCCAATTTACACAACAGATATGTTTGCTAAATTGGAGTCTTAAATATGTGTGTGTGTGTGTGTATTATGTGAAAGCTGCTAAGATGCAGAGATAATAGTGCAATATTCTTATTCCATATTTATCAATCAGTGTCTAATTCTTGACTTTTACACAGTGCCCCATAAAACACAGTTCATTTTAGCTTGAGGCTGAAATGACTCTAATCAAATTAAAATGTGCTTTTCTATAAAATGGGCTTAAACAGTAATTCTTAATGGTAGGTGATTTACAATGTTTTTATTTTTCTTTCATTTAAAAAAATCTATTTCTCGAATATGGAAGAGTTGCCTAATTCATAGTGTAGCACATTGGAGACTTTCTGCTGTATCAGTAACTTTTCCCTTTACACAATTATGGGAACCTATTCCTATGCTTAAATAATCTTTCCCATTTATAGGGTTTCAGGTTTTTCTGGAATGGAACTACCATGTTTACAATATGGAAATGACACCACCATATATGCAGCATTTGCTGATGGGGAAATTTTTAAAGGCACTCTGGCATGCAACTCTTTAAATGCAAATGAAGAGCACAGCCTAGCAATTTCACTCACGTTCTGAAATGTTTTACTATATCAGGTCTTCTTAAAACTGGAAGCTCTTAGAAGGCAGAATTTGTTATTCAGTTGTTTAAATCCTGACCAACTCTTTGTGACCCCTCTGGGGGGTCTCGACAAAGATAGTGGAATGGTTTGCCATTTCCTTCTCCAGCTCATTTTACAGATGGGGAAACTGACGCAAACAAGTTAAGTGACTTGCCCAGGATCACATAGCTAGTAAATATCTGAGGCTAAATTTGAAGTAGGGTCTTTCTGTCTCTAGGCAGGGCACTCTATTCACTGCACTACCTAACTGCCCTGGAAGGTAGAATACCTTGACAAAACTGGCAGTTGATATTTGGTAGCTTCTAGACTTAACTATCTTAAGTTTGCCCAACAAAAAAATTAAGTGATAACAAATGCACTGAAAGAACTTAGGGCAGCATAAAAGAATGAAAGTCTAGTTATCTATCTAGGATTTACTTTAATTTTCAACAACAAAAAAGAATATACTAATCCCTTTGTATAACTATTCATTTTATTCCAATTTGCAATACATTTCCCTGTGGAAGTAGAATCTAGGAAGACATTTGTCCAACTGTCTATATATTGGGTTACTCCATCTTTTGGAAACAATAGAATGGCAGCTCATTTTGCTAGGGATGGGAGTTGTATTTAACAATACACATTAAAAACTTTCGTATATTTTATGCTGACAGTCCGCAACTGTTTTGAAACATTGTGAAATGATGCTTTGGGCAAAAGTATTATACAATCGAAATGCTGACATGTAAGTACTCTTCTAAAAGGAGAGAACAAGCTTTAAAAAAACAAACCAGAATAATTTACTATCATAAAATAGAATTTAGCAGTCAAGCATTGACAACCATACTCAAAACTGATCTTTCAAACAATGATAATGACCAGAGATACTGAGGTCCTGTACCTTGTCTCACTTCACAGGGAAGATGAAAGACTATTTAAAATTTTTGCTCAAGTCTTGTTTTGACGTATGGTTAAAATGAGACACGACCAGACAAAGGGAGAAGAGAAAGGGTGATCTAAATACCACCTTATAGAGAAAACAGGACCAGGGCAGCTAGGTGGCACACTGGATAGAGCACTGGCTCTGGAGTCAGGAGGACTTGAGTTCAAATGTGACCTCAGACACATAACACTCACTAGCTGTGTGACCTCAGGCAAGTCATTCAACCCTATTGCCTAGGCACCCCCCCAAAAAGGTAGAGAAAACAGGACGTCATGTTTTAGAGTCCTTGTGCTACAGAACCAGAGCCTACTACTAAAATCCTAATCTGATAATGGGAATATGAAGGTGGACCCAGTCTTCGAAAGCTATACCAGCAGAACATTGTGTCTGAAAGTTGCAAAAACTTTGAGCAGGGGCTCGGCAATAAACTCCAAATCGGTCATCTGAAGATCATTTTAGCTAAGACAGAAGAGACTGAAGGATCAAACACTGTGTCACCAGGGGCAGCCAGGATAGAGAGCTGGGTCTGGAGTTAGGAAGACTCGACCTTCCTGAGTTTAAATCTGGCCTGAGACACGTACTAGCTGTGTGACCCTAGGTAAATCACTTAACCCTGTTTGCCTTAGTTCAGGGGTGGGGAACCTGCAGCCTTGAGGCCACATGTGGCCCTTTGACTGATTCAGTCATACTTGAGGACCTAGAGGGCCACATGTGGCCTTGAGGCCAAAGGTTCTCCACTCCTGCCTTAGTTCCCCATTTGTAAAATGAACTGGAGAAGGAAATATCAAGATACTTCCAGTATCTTTGCCAAGAAAACTCCAGATGGGGTCACAAAGAGTGGGACACCACTGAAACAACTGAACGATAACTGTGCCAAGCTGGGGATGCAAGTATAAAGAATGAAACCAATCCCTTACATTAGAATGGGAGAGATACTTACAAAAATATGTACAGTATAAAGTTAATAAATACAAATGTATACAAAGTAGTTAAATATAAGGAGTTTGGGAGGGCTTAGTGGTCATGGGAATTAAGAAAGTTTTCATGCAGAAAATAGTGCTTGAGTTGCATCTTAAAGGAAAACAGCTTCTATGAGACAGAGGTAAGGAAGGGGGGACTATAATTGGCAAGTGCAAAAGCACACAAATGGCAGATGGAATGTCATGTGAGGAACAGAGAAGTTAGCATTGCTGAGGAGCAGTGTTGGAGGAAGTGTAATATCTAGTGTGGTTGAAAAGGTAGGTTGCAGCTAGGTGGTGAAAGGCTTTAAAATGCAGTCAGAGGGTTTATATTTTATCTTAGAAGAGACAGGAGGCTACTGGAGTTGATGGAGGAGAAGAGCCAAATGGTCAGATTGGAATTAGGATCATAGGTCTGGAGCAGAACTCTAGAAGTTATTTATTCCAATTTCACATTTTACAGATTAGGAAACTGAGAATCAAGAGAGGCAAAATGACTTTCCCAGGATCACACATTTAATAAGAGACAAGGATGGGACTTGAACCCAGGTTCTCTGACTCTAAACCCAGTTCCTGAATCATCATCAGGAGGTTGGCCACAAGGGAAGCAACTGGTGAAGATGGTTTAAGTAAAATATGTAAACACTGATTCAAGAAAGACATGCTTGCATTGATGAAATCACAGATATTCTGAAGTACAAAACCTGAACTACTTCTGACTGGAGACTTGTTAACAAGACTGATGTGAGGTGGAAATGGGGCTAATCTGTGATTTTGAAATAATAAAACAATTACACAGGAACATGCAATATCTAAGAGAAAAGACATATATCAGCAGCTGCATTGTAGGAATAGGGATTCTAGAGACCAATCTTGAATGGATTAAAAAACAACACAATAATGCACAGTAGTGGTTGATCTTTCCAAAAAGCTTTAATGTTTGTAGTTGTAGTGTTATGTTTCTCCAGAGACATTGCTAACAACTTTACAGCCATTTCAGTTACCTGTTGTGAACAGGAACTAGTGGACAGGACTCAAATGAATATTACTTTGGTCCTTCGGTGACTGTGAGCTAATATTTTAAAAGATAACACATTGCATTTAAGTGGGTATGTGACCACCTTTAGCCAGATGTATAAAACTAATAAACAGTCATTTTTGCTGATGATAAATTGGTGAAAAGATGTAAAGATGGTCCATGACCAAAACATAATAGTTATGTTTAACACGTTAACACGGGACGATACTTATGTGAAAGATTAAAGTTTTTCAATGCATAAAGTTTTTTCCACAAGTATTTCTGACAAGTGCCCAATAAGAATGAAAACAAACTATTTCTTTACTTTTGCATTTGCCAAATCTACCTTCTTGATAGATACTGAAAAACATACCAATGTTAGGTACTACAGATTTAATTCAATAGATTTTTATTCATTCATTCATTCATTTACTTACTTATTATTTATCTGTTTATTTATTGTTTTAGGCAATTGGGGTTAAGTGACTTGCCCAGGGTCACACAGTTAGTGTCAAGTGTTTGGTCTGCGGCTGGATTTGAACTCAGGTCCTCTTGACTTCAGGGCTGGTGCTCTACCCACTGTGCCACCTAGCTGCCCCCTTGCCCTCATATTGTGCCTAAATTTTGGGAGTTGCTATTAAAAGTGTCATACTTGCATATACAAATTCTGATAGGAAGTATTCATCTGCTTTTTCCAGCAGTACATATTTTATCAAAGTGAGCAGTTATCTTCCATTATAGAAAACCACCTTTTGTGAAAAATTGAATTTGTGCTCTTTATGGTTACTAGAATGTAAACAAGTGTCATTTTATTTTTTTTTTAGGCAATTGGGGTTAAGTGACTTGCCCAGGGTCACACAGCTAGTAACAAGAAGTGTCATTTTAAAAAGAAGAAACTCCCAGATGTAAGTCTGACTTGCTTGTTTTCCCCATAAAATAAACCCCTTATGTGCAAAAAGGTGGAACCATCTATGGTTAAGCATTATACTATTTTCATGATATAATATCGTACATTGGAAAGAGGATTAAGAGATTTGATTTAATAGTTAATGGACTTTTCCATGATTTTGTTCACAGATATCTGAAATACAAGATGCTGAATAAATACAATTTATGAAATAAGGCAAACTCTTTGAATGATTCAATTAGAAAATAAATTCTTAAAAGAGTACCATATGCATATATTTGTTTTAGAAAAGAATCATTAAAATCCTATTTTTCCATATACAATGAAGGCCACAGAGTGATGCTGTCCTAAAGAAAAATGGAGGTGGCAGAGGGAGTGAATTCTTCTCTATACTGTATTTTCATGGTGTATATGTTGATTTAATGGTCTATAAATTGATTCCATTTTAAAACAAATTATAAGTTGTCAAGACTTTACATGGCTAAGTACCTCTCTGCACTGAAAGGCTATTGTGTTTCATGGAAAAAAACTGCTATGCTCTGAGCTGACTACCTAAGTAAGTAGTACAATAAATACTTCATGAACAACGTTGATATCCTAACACACATAAAAATTGCTTAATATACAACAGCATAAAACTAAAAACATATAAGTTATGAGAAAACAATAATATCTCCCTAATTGTTTAATAATTTTGGCACAAAACAGGAGATGGACTCAATGTCGCTGTTTCACAGCTCTGTGTGTGTGTCTGTGTGTTTTTTCTTGGAGCTCAAGGTGCCAAAGTACCCATCTGAGCAGATTTGAGGTATGCCTGGCCTCTTCTCGTCTGATGGACTCACTGGCACTTCCCATCTAAACAGTACTGAACATTTAAATTAGTGTATCATTCCCAGTCTAGTATTTCCGTGAGAGAGGTCACTATTAATCCCTTTTAACAGATATGAAAAAGGTAAAGGCAATAGTAAGTAAAGTGATTCACCATATATTGCCAAGTCAGTACCCACCACAATTTAAATCAAGAACTGGTACTTTTCTAAGGTTATATTTAATTTTGGAAAAGTACTTCAGCATCATATTTAGAATACAAAAACCCTCCTCCAATGCAGTTCAACAAGGAAAATTCCTTTTCTGACAGAAAATAAGTCCGTGAAATGACCCAAACATATTACCTGGCATAGACCATTCCTTCAAAAACAGGTTTTTAAAGAAAAAACAATAAATAAACTTGTAAACATAAGATTTCTTCATGTAGGAAAAATTTCAGCCAGAGTAAGTGTTTTTTTGTTGTAAGGCACTTGTGCTTACATTACAATGAAGTCTTCATATGAAGTTTTCTTTTTCCACAAAAATAAGTAACAGTCTTTATAAACAACATCCAGAAAATTATGCTATTCAAGCAAAACTGTCCTGAGAATATTGTTTTTAGCATAATTCCAGTAAATAACTTTTACTTCTGAATCCAGTGAAGGCTGGGCACAGAATTCAGTTTTGGCTAATATCAAAAGCCGGCTCCTTGGCTTGGTGCTGTCTTCATTTAAAGACTTTGTTATGTTTGATCTTGCTGATCCTGTACAATGATTTTGAAGTTTTGTAATGTAAGATCATTTAAGGCACTTGGCAGGATGTGTTCTGATGTGCCCCTGGGCAATATGTTATTTGCTTCTAAACTTTTCACCAAGCATGTGATTTTGAACCATCTCTGTGTTGCTCTCCGTTCTTTCTGCAAGCAATTCTTCATCTTTCTTTTTAAGCTTGCTATCTCTTTCTCCAGTTGAATTATCCTCTTTTTTGCCTCTGTGGGGCTTCTAAAGGCATAGCTGTGTTCAAGTAGAACTTGCTGACAGCTAACATTGGATTTCATATTGGATGGTCCTGCTGGGATGCAAGAGTTTTTCTTAGGAAGATTTCTTGACTTGGGTTTCTGTACAGAATAAAATGAAGAGTGTTACACCTGAATTACAGAGTTTTATGAATCAAAAGTAAATTTGCCCACTTTTGGAATGAAATAATTTTAAACTATTTACCTCATGGAAAGGTATACATTAAACAGAAATGACATTTTATATAATGAATAGAAATGTCCAATGAACTGATAATCAACCTTTTAGTCTTGTATTACCCATTAATTCAATGAGACTTTAGACAAGCTACTTAATCTCTTCATTCCCCTTTTAAATACATGGACCCACATGATATGTGTATAAAAATAATGATTACTTTAGGAATATTTTAAACATTATGATTACAAATGTAGGTTTTTTTAAAGCTTATTTTAAATTCAATAAACCTAATCATTACAATCATTGCAAGTCTAGTATTTCCATGAGAGAGGTCGTGATTAATTTCTTTTTACGGGTAAGAAAATTATTAAATTTTTTTTTAGGCAATTGAGGTTAAATGACTTGCCCAGGGTCACACAGCTAGTGTCAAGTGTTTGGTCTGAGGCCGCATTTGAACTCAGGTCCTCCTAACTTCAGGGCTGGTGCTCTATCCACTGCACCATCTAGCTGCCCCAAGAATATTATTTTAACACTGGGTTATTTTTAAGCTTATGTTAAGTTTAATAAACCTAACTAATAACCATATGTAACCATAATAAACCCAATTAATAACCTGAGAAAAGCAGTGCACACCTCTTCAAACAAGCATTTGAATGGCTCCAATCATGTTCTCTTTCTTTCAGTCTGAGGGAGAATCAGTCCCTTCCTTTAGGCCTCTGGCCTCCTCTGCCCTCTACCTATAAACGGGCTTTGAGGTGTTGCCTTCACTGCTGCAAGTCAATTCTTCTACACATCCTTAATTAACGAAGCGGCTCTTCTAAACCTCTTCATCTTTTCTCAAACCTCCCATGGCTTCTCCTCCCCAACTCTCAAATTTTACTGAAGAAATTGAGACCATCTCCCTAGAGCAGGGGTGGAGAATCTGCAGCCTCGAGACCACATGTGGCCCTCTAGGTCCTCAAGTGTGGTCCTTTGAAAGGTTTGTTCTGTGAAATCTAGATTCAGTCAAACATCTTTTGTGGCCAAACTCCTTAAAAAAGCTGGTTACAATAGGTTCCTCTGCTTCCTCTCCTCTCACTCTCTTACCCCTGCAGTCTGGTTTCCTACCTTCTCATTCAATGGAAACTGTTTTCTCCAAAGTCACTAAAGATCTCTTAACTGCCAAATCTAATGGCCCTTTCTCAATCCTCATCCTTCTTGAGCAGCTTCTGACTCTGTCAATCACCCTCTTCTTGATACTCTCTCATTGCTTGCATGTTATCTTCCCCATCAGATTGTCAGCTCAATAACAGGGACTATATTTTGCCTTTCTTTGTATCTCCAAAGTTTAGCACAGTGCTTGATACATAGCAGGCTCACTCTTTCTCCATTCATTCATTCATTCATTTAGTAAATGTTTGTTGACTGACTAACAGTCAGTAACTAAGGTAAATTGGTAGAGAGAGTTTCCTCACCCAGGAGTTTTCTATACTAATAAAACTACAGGGTCAGTCCACATTCCTATGTAATTGTGTCTTAACTGGCAAAATTAATGTCTCTGGAAGAACAAAACTTTCTTGATAAAAACTTTGCCTTGTTACTGATCCATTTTTCTTTCAAACTCCCTACCCTCTAATTTTTTTTTTTTGGTGAGGCAATTGGGGTTAAGTGACTCGCTCAGAGTCACACAGCTAGTAAGTGTCAAGTGTCTGAGGCTAGATTTGAACTCAGGTCCTTCTGACTCCAAGGCTGGAGCGCTACCTACCTGCCCCTACTCTAGTTTCTTAAAAGAATGAACTCTGCCCAGTTCCCCAACTTGCTCCTGACATACAACTTTGTTGGCCCATTGGGGAGTCAGATTTCTGTTTCCTTCACTCTCCTTTAAGGTTTCTCTGTAAAGTCCCCAGGGGCTTCTCGGTCTCTGTGGCCCATGATCTGGGCAGCATTGCGTTGTTCGTCACCGTATCCTTGGCTCCCAAGACAATATACTTTTTGTTTCTTCTCCTATCTGCTGGCTTCTTCTCTCACTCCACTTTCTCCTTTCACCCTGCTAAATGTGGCCATACTAAGCGATTGAAGTTCTTAACTCCTGGGAGAAAAAGCCAGTTTTCCTTTTGAGGGGAAAAGAATTTTGAAGAAGAGAGTGTATGAGTGTGTATGTATGAGAGAGAGAGTGTGTGTGTGTGTGTGTGTGTGTGTGTGTGTGTGGTGCCTTAAAGTCTAAGGAACATAAAATGTATTGTTGTTTTATTCATAAAATTATCATATTTGTTATATTTAAAATATATTGTAATACAATTACAAATTTTTAAATGTTTAAAATTTTTGTTATAAATGGTGCTACAAGCAGCTCCATTTTAAAGTTTAGGTAAAACTAAGAAATAGTAGAATCCTTAATTTGGGAAGCAGATGGAATTAGAGAACAGAAGAAACCTGAAAGAAAAAAAGTTCAATTTTCTGAACTTAGTGTCTACTTATTTTTTGGCTGGACCTAAAATTTCACTGGTGTAGGAAATTTTCTGTGAGGAAGCTCCTTCGATCACTGCAACTCTGCAAATGTCCTTCAACTTAGTTTTACAGTTAACCTGAGACGTTCCGTGCAGGGGCCATTACAGGCCTGGAGGGACAGCTTTCTAGCTCCTTAGCCAGCCAGTGTTGTTCAATATCCTTCAAAGTGTTGAGGAAATGCAGAAAACACTGACTTTCTGAGGAGGTATGACTAAGACCCCCAGACTTGGTGAATCTAACTAATCTCTGTCATACAGAACTCTACACAAGCAGTCTCACTTCTGAGTTTCGGCTATGAATAGTGTCTGTGTCTCTGGTGCTTATTTTTAACATTCTCCTGGACTTCTGAAAACTGAATGTTTGCTGGGATGGAGACAGGTTTCTCCACACTAATTTATTTCATGGTTTGGTTGGAGTACTTTCAATCATAATAGGTAATAGGCCGTTCAGACTTCTTACTACCCCAAGTTCTGAGCCTTTTGAGCAGGGGAGGCAATCAGTTCATCGTTTCTAACCACAGAAGGAATAAATGGATATCTCTGTTGATGTTCATTCCACCCTTAGGCCTTTGAGACCCTCTGGTCAGGCAGTTCTGACACTGGGATTCCAGAAAAGGACAATCCAAGAAATGGTAACACTGAATATTTCTTACTTTTCTTGTCAAAACTGCATTTTGCTTCTTCTGTACTGTTTGTACTCATATATTAATAAGCAGATACTGAAGAAAATTTTACACAAAAAACCTTCCTATGGCACATTGTTAACTATTTTGGGAAGTAAAGGCTAGGTAACAATATATGAATGCTGTATTTTATGTTATTTTTAAAAACAGGATAAAGTAGCAGTGTCAAACTCAAACAGAAACAGGCCACTAACCTGGAAGGCAGTCCCATAAAGACTAAGAAAACCACATATTAACAATATGTTTTTTCACTTATTTTGTTAAGTGTTTCCTAATTACATTTTAATTTATTTCCAGCTGCATTTAGAAGAGGCCCATTTATGCTTTAACACATCTATTAATTCTTCTTCTGTAATGTCTCCTCTTAGTCTAGTCCGGGGGTGAGGAACCTCAAGTACAGCCCTTTGACTGAATCCAAACTTCACAGAAAAATCCCCTTAATAAAAGGATTTGTCTGTAAAATTTGGACTCAGTTAAAAAGCCGTACCCAAGGACCCAGAAGGCCACATGTGGCCTCAAGGCAGAAGGTTCCCCAACCCTGGTCATTTCTATTTCTACTTTTGACCCCCTTTTCAGGCCCTCACCGTTTTACTACTGATATAGCCTCCCAAGTAATAACAAAGTATAATTACATCACGGCAATATACATATCATATAATTTCAAAGCTACTGGCTTGTTTCAAATGATATGCCAGTACAATGAACAAATCTGGAAAGTGGTAAATGTTCCTGACTGTAAGTCAAAAGACTTTCTATCAGTTCTAATATTCTATATCTTTACCTAGTCAATAAACATCTATTAAGCACTGATTATGTGGCACTGACTATGCTAAGTGCTAGGGATACAAAAAGGTAAAAAAGAGTCCCTGACCTCAAGGAGCTTACCGACTAATGGGGAAACAATGTGCAAAAAATATATATATGCAAAGCAAGCTATATATAGAACAAATAGGAAATAAAAAAGAGAGGGAAGGCACTGGAATTAAGAGGGGTTGGGGAAGGCTTCCTGTAGGACGTGGGATTTTAGTTGGGACTTAAAGGAAGCCAGGGAGGTCAGTAGTCAGAATGGAGGAGGGAGACCATTACAGGCTTGGAGGACAACCAGAGAAAATGTCCACAGCTGAGAGATCTGGAGCATCTTGTCCCGGAACAGCCAGGAGGCCAGTGTCCAGGATCAAAGAATGTGTTGGGGAAAAAAGTGATTCTTTTAGTCCAGGGTTCTTAACTTTTTTGTGTGTCATGGATCCCTCTAAGAGTCTGGTAAAACTTATGAATCCTTCTTAGACTAATGTTTTTAAACACAAAAAATATCAAATACATAAGGATGCAAAGGAAACCAATTATATTGAAATACAGTTGTCAAAACATTAAAAAAAATTCATTGCTCCCAAGTTAAGAACCTTGGTAAGGTCAGGTCTACAACTTGACTCTAACTAGTTGTAGGCCCTAAGGCTAGGTACTTAGTTAATTTCTCAGGGTCTCAGTATTCTTGTTTATAAAATGAGGAAGCTTACCTGGATCAGCGGAGTCAAACTCAAATAGAAATGGAAGCCACTAAATAGTACCTGACTTAGAAAATCACACATTAACATTTTCTATGTTTTATTGTATTTTTATTTTGTTAAATATTTCTCAATTACATTTTAATCTGGTTCCCTCAGCTGGGAAACGCTTCAGCCTTACTCCCTTAGTGTTTGACATCTCTGATCTATATAATTTCCAAGCTCTCTTCTATCTCTACAAATGAGATTTGGCAGGTATGAGGCACAGCAAAGGACAACTTTTTTGATCATATATGGTGTTCAGGACAGTCTTGCTTTCTTATGTAAAGGATAGTCTCCGTCAGAGAGATGACAAAAATGGGGAGTTGTGAGAAGGAAAAAAGGGAAAAAAGAAAGGAGTATCACCTACCATTGATTTTAGATGAGTACAGAAATCAAAAATTGTTGGTACAGCATCCATTTTAAGTCGTCTTGTTTGTCCCGTTAGGTCAAAACAGGAGGCTTCAAAGTGTTTTGAGCAAAGAAAAGTGTGTTTTCCCGGCACAAAATTTTTGCGCCTAACCAGACGAACCCATTCCTTTCTTCTTTGGGGATCTAAGGGAAACCTAAGAAACAACATACATCTCAAATGCCAACTGATTTGGAGAAATCACAACATTTCAGGTAATTCTAGTGGTTAAAGATAATTAAAAAATAAACAAAGATTTAATGTTGATTACATTTAAATATCTGCCTAAAAATATTAACACTGAAGTGATTTACACACTCTAATGAAAATAATTCATGCTTATTTTCATAAGAGTGAATAAACAGTAACTTCAATGTAGGAGTGATTAAGTGGTTTCTGTGATTTGGAGGAATAGATCCTTCAACATATTCCCTAGAATTACAAAAAACTGAATTTTTTTCCCCAGTCTAAAACTGTTTTTAACACATTCAATTTATCAAATGCATAGAACTATTTTATTAGGAAAATTTAGCCAGGCCATCTACTGTTGCTGATATAAATGGTGAAGGCAAATCAGATACAATACTCATTTTGTCAAGAAAACTTAGGTAAAAATGCCTCAATCTCTAAAATTTGTATTTTAGTTTCTAGTTAATTTGCATATATTTGTAATTGTTGAAATCAATACTTTGTCTATACTGATCATCCCAGTAGAAATCATGATTCTCATGAAACATAGTAGAAATATCACTAATAGGCCCAATTAGATTTTCAATTCCATTAAGGAAAATACCCTTTTCTTATAATATGCTATTTATTCTGAGGGTGCTCAGCAAAAATTTACTGACAAGCATATATATATATATATATACACACAAAAGGGATGTCTTCCTGTGTCTCTACATAGTTCAGAAAAAAATCAATAGGATATTGGAGAGATTATTGATTTAGAATCAGGGAAGCAACACCTAGATGTGATCAATTTGATCTCAACTTTACTCTGAGTGCCCTCTAATGGAAGTGCTGATCATTATGACCTTGCTATAACAGGGATGAGAAATGAAACTGCTATATTTGAGAAGCAAAAATATTGGGGACATTAAGAGATCATGAAGAGAAGGGGTCTGCATTGGAAAGCTGCCACTGCCATGACCCCCCATTATTCCTACATTTCCCTAGCAAGAATTTAGTAAGGTGAACTAGTGCATCTTTCACTTCTTACAGCTATACTGCCTTGCAAATCTCAAGGTTTCTGGGACACAAAAAGTAGTTCTTCCTTAACAAAAAGTTTAGAGGCATTTTCACTTTCATTCTGTCTTCCCCTTTTAAAGGATCAGATCTAGGACAAAAATGTAAGCTGACTTCAAAGATCCCAATTCCAATATTTTGTGATCATGTTAATAAAGCCTAAATAATTTTCTTCTCTTCCCCAGGAAAGACTAAGGAATGTTGACTGTCATTTTCTAAGACCTCTTCATGACTGTACATAGCCCATCAAACAAGTCTTGAAGATAAATAATTCCTATGATTAGTTATCCTTTGTTCAAAGGCATATTATTTTCCAAACCTTTGTCCTTGTAGCTTATCTTAAAATTATAGAGCCCAGACCTGGGGTCTAATCTGTATTCCTTAAACACAGTCATATGGATCATGGCAGTGACATTCTAAGATAACTTTTAGACTGAGAGGCACTGAAGTATAGTGGATGGAGGACTATCCTTGGAATAAGGAAAACTTGGTTCAAGTCCCGTCTCTTGGTCACTTACCATGGGTAAATCACTTAATCTCACAGGGTTCCACAAAACTCTTTAACATTAAAAATTACAAGGGAATTACTGTATTGGACAAGTGACAGGTCTGGACCATTGCCGATCTGGGACCATTCCCAAAATCTTTTGATTATCTATGCTGATGGAGAACATTTTTGTTATCATTTCCTAACCCATGATTTCATCAGTTGGGGGAACTCCTAAACTGTCACAATACAGATTAGCAATTTACCTTCAGATTTATGTTCTTAGAGAGTTGCCTGGGGCTTGGATCCACGTATTCCAAATGCAAAGACTAGTCTTAAATTCACTAAGCCACATTCTTCTAGAGAGTTTTCAAGTATTGAGAATTAGAATGAAATTTTGAAGAAAAGCACTGAGTTTGAATGAACCAATCAAGATTCTCTTTAAACTTTTATTCTGAACAAAAATAATTTCAATAAATTCAATTCAACAAATTTTTATTAAACATGTTCAGTCTTTTCAGTCCTGTCCGACTCTTTGTGACCCCATTTGGGGTTTTCTTGGCCAAGATACTGGAGCGGTTTGCCCTTTCCAGCTCATTGTACAGATGAGGAAACTAAGGCAAAGAGGGTAAGTGACTTACCCAGTGTGGCACAGTTAGTAAGTGTCTGAGGCAGAATTCAGACTCAGGTGCTCCTGGCTCCAGGCCTATCCGCTGAAAAAAACAGAAGCAGCTTGGTGTAGTGGATGGAAAGCCTCAATTAGAATCAGGAAGACCTAGGTTCAAGTTCTGCTTCTGATACCTACTTGTCTACGTGACCCTGTGTCAAGTCACTTGACTTCTCAATGCCTTCAAGACTATTATTTGTATTATTTGCAGCATCTGACAATGCTGATCTACTTTGGTAGAGGGAATTTATTCACTGGGAGTTCCCTATGCTAATAAAATCATAGTTCTAGTTCTCCCTACCCAACATCTCAAAAAAGTGCTTGGTGCTAGAAAACAAGTCTCAAGCTGGTACACAGGAGTCAAAATGGGGAGGTGGTGGTGGCAAAAAGTGTCCCCTCTCCAAAGTGTCATACTATATCATACAAATCCTGAAAGGTTACATATATTTTTTAGCAGCCAATTGTATACAGCCCTTTTGAAAATGGTCTCCATAAAGAGCTTATACTTGAAATAAGCATAAAGAAGATACAGAAGTTTCTGCAGAACCTATGGATTTTTTGTTCATTTTAAAGCAATTGGCAGAGAAACAATTTTACCTTTCTTAATCCTAGGGGTAGAACAGACACCAACCCCTGCTTTGGATTCTGATAAACAATTAAATTCATTAGCATTACCACACTTTTCATTGCCTGCTGCCCCTCAGAAGAATAAACTTTGATGTCAATCCTGTAATTCGGCATTTCCCAATTTTAATAGCAAAGCAACTGTTTTTTCCAGATGGGAATCGAAGGGATTTCTTTGGTCCAACCAAGCTGAAAGATGCCTCTCTTTGCTCTGGCCTCCAGAACCTTGGCTCCTCCTGTATTCTTTCTTTCTTCCTCCTACCATCCTTTCTTTCTTTCCTCTACTCCAATCTTCCCCCCCTCCCCCATCGAAGCTGAAAATGCTGGTGGAGAATCCGGTCCCCTACGGGAGAGATGATGATGCTCCAGTATCGTCTAGAAGAGGGGATGGGGAGCAGGGCAAGGGTTTCTTGACCTTTTGTGCGTCATGGACCCCTTTGGCAGGCTGGTAAGGCTCGGGATCCCTTCATATAATAACGTACATATTTTTAATTTGTTAACTAAAAAATGCTAAATTTCAATGAGTGGAAAGATGACATTTTTCTCCCGTTCAAGTTCACGATCCCCTTGAAATCTATCCACGGACCCCACGTTACGCTCCCGGGTTCGAAGGGGGTCGGGCTGGGTGGCAGCTGGGTCAAGGACAGCCGCCCCGGGCGGTCCTGGCTCTGGCCGCCCCGTACCTGTTACCTGTGGAAGCTGACGTTGATGTGCTTGTTGTAGGTAGCCGCACAGCCCGCTGCGGCGCAGTTGGTGGGCATCTCTCTGACTCCCCTTATCCGACACACGCGGAGCCGAGTCAGGGGACGGGATGCAGCCCCGGGGACCCCCGCGGGGGGGTTGGGAAGGTGGGAGGTCCCTACTCAACCTGGGCTTTCTTTTCCTTTAATAAGATGGCGGGCTCGAGCCTGCAGGGCTGACGGTCCCCGAGTTCCCGCTGCCCTTGTTCTTCACCAACATGGCGGCGCTGTTCCTCCACATCCAGCGCCCCCCTCCGCTGCCCTTCCTACCCCCCCCTTCTTTCCCTCGGGGAGAAAGAGAAGCATCCGAAGTCACCCAAGGAGGGGAGAAAATCTTCCTCCAAGGAGCCGCTCAATGGGAACCGATTCAGGGTCTGCAGGGGGTTTGTGAGTGTCGGGAAAAGGGCGAATAACGGGAAGGGGAAAGGAGTGGAAGAAAAACTACACCTCCCATCACGCACCGCGCGCCACGATGGATCACCGCATGAGCCATCCTTAACCGCGTGCCGCCTCGGCCTCGGGAAGGCACTTCCGGTTTGCCTCCTTCCAGCCTCCTTACTCGCCTGTCTTTTCTCGCGAGGCCCTGGCGGAAGATCCGGGAATCTATCTCGAAAGGGGCACAGAGAGAGCTGGGTGGCCGGCGGTGGCGGCGGGCGTGGGGGAAGTTGGAGGACGGCGCTCCTTCGGTGTAAAAAGCGTCCGCCTCGGGGTAGGGGTGAGGCTCGGCCGGCCCGGTGAGTGAGGAAAGAGGGAAAGAAGGAAGGAAGGAAAAAAAGAAAAAAAGAAAGAGAAAAGAAAGAGAAGCAGGTGAGTTATTTCTTTTTGGGTGGCGGCTGCCCCGACGGTGGGGGTGCGGCGTGAGTCCAGGCTGCTCCGTGGATGGCGGCCCCGGACGCCGCGGCCCCGGCCTCCAGCGGCCTCTCGCCTAAGGAGGAAGGGGAGTTGGAAGACGGGGAGATCAGCGACGATGACAACAGCCAGGCCCGCAGCAGGAGCAGCAGCAGCAGTAGCGGCGGCGGCAGCGGGTTGCCGTACCCGCGGCGGAGGCCTCCGCACCCGCCCCGGGGCGGTGGCTCCGGCTCGGGCGGAGGCTGCGGCGGCGGCTCGTCGTCGTCGTCGTCGGCCTCGTCGCAGCAGCTGCCGAGGAGTTTCTCGTCCCGCTCGCGGCACCCGTCGGAGCGTGGCCCCCTTCGCGGGCCCAGCGGCGGCTACCGGCCCAAGGAGCCGTTCCGCTCGCACCCACCCCCCATGCGGATGGCGTCGTCCTCTTCGCTGTCGGAGGGCAGCCCTCGGCAGTCATTCTGGGAGCGGAGCCACATCGCCCTGGACCGCTTCCGCTTTCGAGGCCGGCCCTACCGCGGCGGGGGCCGCTGGGGCCGCGGGCGAGGCAGCAGCAGCGACCGGGGCGGCAAGCCGGCGGGCGGCAGGCCGCCGGCGGGAGGAGGGGGATCGGGCTTCGGCAGCGGCGGCCAGAGCTGGAGGGAGCCTTCTCCTCGCAAGAGCTGTATCCTTTCCGTGGGGGTGGTCGGGGATCCCCTTCTCCTCGTTTCACAACCCTTTCCCCTCCTCCGTCCCTAGAGTCTGGGTTTGGGAAAAGTAATGCCCAGGAGCAGCCCCGTAATAAGCAATGCCATCTTTTATTGTTGTGGGATATTCATTGACTTGTCTACTTTTACAATTCATTCCACAAAAGAGAAGCGCCCACAGGCTGTGCTGGGCGCTGGGATGAAAAGACCAAACAACCCCCCCACCAAAAACCCCCCCAAAACTCCAAACCTCTCAAGTCCATCAGTGTCCTGGAGGAACTTATCTTTGGAGGAGTACAATACACATATGTAAGTAAATAGAATTTTGTACCACGTAATGGCTTTGCACTCCTTTTAATTGTAAAATTTCCCATCACTCCGTTCATTTGCAGAACTCAAGTTGTAATTTTATTTAATGCTATCTCTTCTTGATGCCTTTAAAAGTGAAGGGAAAAAATGCTCGACAAAGAGCTACGGGAACCCTCTGTTATTCAGAATTGTGACCCCTTGATTTTCCTAGCCTCTTCCATTTTTTTCCCTTGGTGTTTGCTGTTTGTTAGAAGATCGTCAGATTTGGGTAAGTATGGACGAGAGACACGTTTTAGTAAGTTTGGCTACTGATTAAGGTCTTGGGAGGGATTGGGAAGGAAAACTTAAGTTTTTATTTTTATTTCTTTAAAATATTATTGTCTTCAGGTACCACCCTGTGTGGGGTTATAGAGTGAGTAATCTGTTGTTAAGAGTTAGTGTTCATACTTTTGAAACAATCCTAAGATTAAGAACTAGGAGGAGTTTTGGAGTTTCGGAAAGGGTTAGGGCTATGATAGAGATGAGAGATTAAAGCTCAGAGTATCATATATCAGAGTTGCCAGGGGCCTGAGGTGTTCTCCTGTATATTCTGTCAGTCAGTAAACATTTATTTAGGTCCTCCTATGTGCTAGGCACTCTGTTAAGTGCTGGGAATACAAAATCCTTGCCCTCTAGGAGTTTTTACAATGGGGATGAGCAGGAGAGGTGGAGACATCCAGTAAAAAAGTATGTTCAACCAAGCTATATACACAGGATAATAGAAACAGACAAGAATCCTTTCTAAAGAATCTGGCCTTTGTTTGAAAGCCATTTCTCTATAGGCAGTCCATTCCATCTTGAGTCAACTCATTGCTAGGAGCTTTTTCTTTAAGTCAAATCTAAATTTGCCTCTTTATTCAAACCCTTCAGAGGGGTTAACTTTTATTGTGTGATAGACTCTTTTGGGGCTCTGGTGAAGCGCCTGGACTCTTTCTCAGAATAATGTTTTTAAATCTGTAAAATAAAATATATATGATTGTAAAGGAAACCATTTATGTTGAAATAGTTACCAAATATTTCTTAAAAAATGGGCCCCAGGTTAAGAACCTTTGGTTTAAGGCTACACAGAAAGTAGCAGACTAATAATTTTTTCAATTAGAAATTAGGCCAGATCCCAAATCCATTACTCTTTTTCCTAGGCATATTTTATTTTTTTCCAATTACATGCAAAGATAGTTTTCTTCATTTTTGTACAATTTTGAGTTCCAAATTTTTGTCACTCCCCTTGTTCCCTCCCCAAGACAGCAAATAATCTGATATAAGTTGTACATGTACAATCATGTTAAACATATTTACACATTAGTTATAGTGTAAGAGAAAAATCAGAACAAAAGGGAAAACCATAGGAAAGAAAAATTAAAGTGAAAATGGTATTCTTCGATCTGCATTCAGATGCCATAGTTCTTTCTTTGGATGTGGCTAGCATTTTTCATCATAAGTCTTTTGGAATTGTCTTGGATCGTTGTATTGTTGAGAAGAGCTAAGTATATCCTAGTTGGTCATAGCATAATGTTGCTGTGGCTGTGTATGATGTTCTGGTTCTGCTTACTTTATTCAGCATCAGTTCATGTAAGTCTTTCCAAGTTTTTCTGAAATCTGCCTGCTTATCGTTTCTTATAGAACAATAACATTCTATTGCATTCATATGCCAGAGCTTTTTCAGTCTTCCCCAATTGATGAGCAAGCCCTCTGTTTCCAATTCTTTGCCACCATGAAAAGAGCTACTGTAAATATTTTTGTACATGTAGGTCCTTTTCCCTTTTTTATGATCTCTTTGGGATACAGACCTAGTAGTGGTATTGCTGGATCAAAGGGTATGCATAGTTTGGTTGCCCTTTGGGCTTAATTCCAAATTGCTCCCCAGAGTGGTTGGATCAGTTCACAGTTTCATCAGCAATGAATTAGTGTTCGAATTTTTGACATCTTCTCCAACATTATCGTTTTCCTTTTCTGTCATATTAGCCAGTCTGATGCACGTGAAGTGGTACCTCAGAGTTGCTTTAATTTGCATTTCTCTAATTGATAGTGATTTAGAATGTTTTTTCTTATGATTATGGATAGCTTTAACTTCTTCCTCTGAAAACTGCCTGTTCATATCCTTTGCCAAGTCCATTACTCTTTGAAATAAAACAAAAAACCAAAACAAAACCTAAAACTTTTACCAAGCCGTATGGCCTAGCTTATTTTGTGGTAACTACATAGGCGTAGCTTACTAAGTACTTTCATTTTAACTATTTTGCTTGGCGTGAATCCCATAGTGAAGTGATTCATTTGTGGGTGTGTAACATTTAACCTTTTTTTTTTTGGTGAAACTCTTTGAAGGCTTCTGTAATGTTACTTTACTTCAAGTGGATTTCATAGAATGATATGATTAGGAGAGACCTCCAGAGGTCCTGTTATAGGGAGACATTAATTTGCAGGACTCTGACACATTCAGAGCTTTAGCTTCTGTATAGGGAAAATGAAAGGTTTGGAAGGAAAATTAATCCTGACTTCAGTTTTACCCAATGTGACTGCAGAGTCACATTGTTTCAGTGTGTTCAGAAAGGAAGGAGGTAGAGAACTATAATCTTGTCACAGTGATGTTTATTTTTGTGTTCATCTTATGGAAGTGTATGAGCCTTTTACAAGTAATAGTATAAAAAAGATACATTGAAAGATTTGGACCCAAAACCTTAAGTGGCACTGCTTTATGAATTAGCCAACAAGCAAGCAGAAAATGCTTTATTTTGTGGACTGGGCTGTTACAAATGTTTCTGAGGTTTCACTACCTCTGGCTGATTTCTTAATCTTGATGATTTTTATGACCTGGGATCATAGGATCACAGATTCAGAGCCTTGAAGGGGCCTTGGAAATCATCTAGTTCAGCCTCCTTATTTTATGTATAAAGAAACTGAGGCCCGGAAAGTTAAGGTTATACAGGTATTAAGTGAGAGAGGACTCAAACCTACAAAATTCCAAATCTGACTCTAGGTTGTATTTGGTGCTTGAAGTATTTCCCTATTAACTCGAACAGTGTTGAGATAGAGAGGGAAAAAAATGTTCCATGTGAAAATAGTTACATAGAAGAAACCATTTAATTGCAGATAACATTTTGAATTTAAAGGTTCTTGCTTTATAGTGCAAACAAACAGCCTAAAAAAACCTCATATACAACTCTCCCTGAAAAACCCAAACCAAAACAAAAACCCCAACATTTTCAGAACCACCAATAATGTGGAATGAGTGGAGACCTTAATGTTGGTTTGGTAAATGATAGCATATTGCTCATCATTGGAGTTAATTAATTGACCTGGGAGGATAGCTTTATTTTAATGAGCAGCTTCCAGAAGCAGAAACTGGCTATACAAGATATAAGGTCCCTTGCTCCACATGTGGGTAGGAATAATAGTAATAGAATTGACATGATAAAGATATTCCTCAAAAGCTGAAGAGTATTCACTTAACATGTATGTAGAACTACACCCCTCTCCCATCTTTCCCCAGAGACATTATTGAAAATATGGTACTTTGTCAATTCAGGGGGTTAGGGAAGTGAAAATTAACTTCTTACATTAAAAA